TTGCTCTGCTGGGAGAACTGGGTGGCCAGTTTATCATAGGATTGGAGTTTCAATTCCCAGCTTCTCCTGAACATTATTTGTGTATATGTGGACAAAAGTGTCTGACATGCGAATCTAATGAAATGAAATGTAACGTCAAGTAAAACACACAATGTTTCGTAGCCTCGACATTTTTGTTCTGCAAGAGCAAACCAGCAGTATATCACGTTATTGTTCTGACCTTCACAAACAGCTGTCCAGGAGCGTCCACCAGACCATCCAGCTTCTTCGACACATCTGAAACCAAACAGTTTCGGTTTCATACTCATCAAACCATTCAGTGACCACTCGTGTCCTGTGGAAGGGGGCATTCTGGAAGACACCACTCATTAATTCTGGTTTTTCCTTTCCTTTGTCGCCTGTCTGTATGTCGGTGAGATACAGTGGTGTGAAAAAGTGTTTGCCCCTTACTGATTTCTTATCTTTTTGCATGTTTGTCACACTGTAATATTTCAGATCATCAAACAAATTTAAATATTAGTCAAAGATAACACAAGTAAACACATCATGCAGTTTTTAAATGAAGGTTTTTATTATTAAGGGAAAACAAAATCCAAAACTACAAAACCCTGTGTGAATAAGTGTTTGCCCCCTAAACCTAATAACTGGTTGGGCCACCCTTAGCAGCAACAACTGCAATCAAGCGTTTTCGATAACTTGCCATGAGTCTGCCACAGCGCTGTGGAGGAATTTTGGCCCACTCATCTTGGCAGAATGGTTGTAAGTCAGCCACATTGGAGGGTTTTCGGGCATGAACCGCCTTTTTAAGGTCATGCCACAGCATCTCAATTGGATTCAGGTCAGGACTTTGACTAGGCCACTCCAAAGTCTTCATTTTGTTTTTCTTCAGCCATTCAGAAGTGGACTTGCTGGTGTGCTTTGGATCATTGTCCTGCTGCAGAACCCAAGTTCGCTTCAGCTTGAGGTCACAAACGGATGGCCGGACATTCTCCTTCAGGATATTTTGGTACACAGCAGAATTCAGGGTTCCATTTATCACAGCAAGTCTTCCAGGGCCTGAAGCAGCAAAACAGCCCCAGACCATCACACAACCACCACCATATTTTACTGTTGGTATGATGTTCTTTTTCTGAAATGCGGTGTTACTTTTACACCACACATAATGGGACACACACCTTCCAAAAAGTTCAACTTTTGTCTCGTCTGTCCACAGAGTATTATCCCAAAAGTCTTGGGGATCATCAAGATGTTTTCTGGCAAAACTGAGACGAGCCTTTATGTTCTTTTTGCTCAGCAGTGGTTTTCGTCTTGGAACTCTGCCATGCAAACCATTTTTGCCCAGTCTCTTTCTTATGGTGGAGTCATGAACACTCACCTTAACTGAGGCAAGTGAGGCCTGCAGTTCTTTGGATGTTGTTGTGGGGTCTTTTGTGACCTCTTGGATGAGTTGTCGCTGCGCTCTTGGGGTAATTTTGGTCGGCCGGCCACTCCTGGGAAGGTTCTCCACTGTTCCATGTTTTCGCCATTTGTGGATAATGGCTCTCACTGTGGTTCGCTGCAGTCCCAAAGCTTTAGAAATGGCTTTATAACCTTTTCCAAACTGATAGAGCTCAATTATTCTCTTTCTCATTTGGTTTTGAATTTCTTTGGATCTCGGCATGATGTCTAGCTTTTGAGGATCTTTTGGTCTACTTCACTTTGTCAGGCAGGTCCTATTTAAGTGATTTCTTGATTGCGAACAGGTGTTTTTTTTTGGGGCAACCACTTGTTCACACAGGGCTATATAGTTTTGGATTTTGTTTTCCCTTAATAATAAAAACCTTCACTTAAAAACTGCATGATGTGTTTACTTGTGTTATCTTTGACTAATATTTAAATTTGTTTGATCTGAAACATTAAAGTGTGACAAACATGCAAAAAGATAAGAAATCAGTAAGGGGGCAAACACTTTTTCACACCACTGTACAACATTCTTGGGACTGGGTATAAAATAAAGGAAATTAGAACAATTCCACACTCACTGCAGAATACTACTTTCCTAACCAGTTTAAGATTTTAGGAACTACAGTACAAAGAACTATGCTACAATTACTCAAGTCAGTGGGGGGGGGGGCAACCTTCTCTCAAGGTTCACTTACCCAGTAGCAATATAACCCCTTTTTGCTCTTTTTAAAAATTGAACAAAAGAAGCCAAAGTTGTTAAATGGAGCATAAATGTTTAGTTTTAACTATATTTCAATTCAAAGTTGTCTACATGGTGTACAGGGACATCTCCATAGGCAAAGCACCATTCAGTCTGCCAACAGCGATAGTTTATTTGAGCTCAGTGCTGATTAAGAAAAACTTCAGAAGTCTGATTGGGGACAAGGACACAAACTTGAGTTTCATTGTTTTTTTTTGTTTGTTTTTTTTAACTGCAGAAAACTATGGGACATCCAGGCACTGATAACAGTTGTCTAAAAATGCCTGGATCTGACGGTTCCTCAGATTTCACAAATACAGTATGTAAAGCTGGCCATCAGTTGGACAGCCAGATAGCTGGAGAGAGAGAGATTACTTTATTAATGGGGAGGCAACAGTGGTGCGGTGGGTAGAGCAGTCGTCTCCCAACCAGAAGGTTGAAAGTTTGAATCTCGGTGCCTGCAGTCCACGTGTCCTTGGGCAAAACACTGAACCCCCCTGTTTGCCCCCGATGGTTAGAGCAATCGGTTGAGTTGGCGCCGCAGATGGCTGCCTCAGTTCTGTACTGGAAACAAATTCCTTGTAACATACTTGGCCAATAAAGGTGATTATCCTTATCCTTAATCTCTAAGGGGAGGTTCTGGGTTCTGGCGCCAGCAAGATACACATTTATTATACAGTTATTGAACTACTTGCAGATAAAGAGCGAGATATTTTTCTCAGACATTGTTGGAGACCCTCCCTAAAAACCAAACCTGCCACCTGTTAATCAGCTGACTCACCGGATCGTTTGAAGCGGTGTCCGATGGACCGAGACCAGCCGATGCTGTGGATCAAAGGGCTGTACATATGACACCAGAAGTCGTCCGTCCCGTCATCACACTCCTCATACACCAGCCGCAGACGACCGCCTATCACCTGCAATAACATCCGCACATATTAAAATTCCATTTATGCTCTTCTGGCGGCAAAAACTTCCTGTAGGATGCAGTCCTCCGTGTCCTTTGTGAGTGTGTTTGTCTTTTAACAGTATTTGAATGATCAATGGACAAAAATAGAACTCAATCACCTGTTCGACCAGAGCGACCCGAGTCCTACACAGGTGAGTCTTATCCACCACCTCCACCCTCATCTGCTTCTTAAAGGGAAACTGCATGCTCTCCTGCACCTGAGGGAGGTTGATGAGAGATTTAGAAAGTGAGGAAGTTTGGTGGGCACTTATTATAAGTGTGGCCTGTTCTGTAACAGCTGTTATAAAGGAGGCCACCTCTACAGGGCTCTGCTTCTCGAATGACACAGATACTGCTGTCTTCATTTCGGATTATTTATTTTAACAGAAAACATGGCCATATTGCTGATTTTAATGAGGTAAAAGACTGCACTGACTGTAAACTGTGCCCCGCCCCCTCCCCATCTACCACAGGTTACATCTTCATCATCATCATCTAATTAACTGTCAGAGCCAAAAATAATAAATTCAAAATGACATCCTTTCAATAATTCAACAAATTGGGAAAAAAAACATACTTTGACACTGGCACAAAACTGGCTCCAACAAAAAGTGATGACTGAAGACAGAAATGAGTTCAGGTTAAGGTTTGAGGACATGGTGAAAAAAATGAATCAATATGTTCTGTGCATTTTGTCGGTGTCAGAGACCTTGGAGGGGAAGTCTGGTGGCAGTGTTTTCGATCCTGTTAGTCGTTTAATAAGGAAGGTCTTCCAGTTGGTGAACCTGTGCAGGATGGCTGAAACACACACACACACACACACACACACACACACACACAAACGTGTAACATTTCATTTCATTATTACAGGATCTTCTTGGACTCGATGAATACAAATAATACTTAATATTACTATGACAGACCACAGACCACTACAGAGAAGGATATTTAAAATCAGATCATATTTCCTATGACATGTTTCACTTATATGAAGCTCTACAGACAGAAGATAAGCCCCTCTCTGTTTCTTACTCTGAGGAGGGACCAGAGCTTTTCCTTCGGCAGCACACCAGCCAACTGGGTGGATGTCGGGCACGCACAGATTCAACCAGAAATCTCTGGTGGAGTCGCTGTCAAAGCCTTCGTAACGCATCAAGGCCTTAAAACCTGCACACATATACACACACGTGTTTGCATAGCTACCTTTGTGAGGATGTTCAGTGACATAATGCATTCCCCTAGCCCTTTACTCTAACCTTAACCACCTACCCCCAACCCTAAGCTAAACCTCATTCTAACTTTAATCCTCAAACTGCCCTTTGAAGGGGTCTGAGAAAGTGAGGACCAGCCAAAATGTCCTTACCCCCATGGTATAAAATTCAAACTGGTCCTCACACTGCTGGCTATACAATTACACAATGAACTGATCATTTAATCACTGATGGACCTACAATACATTTGATCTAGTTCCAAACTAAGCGACAATTGAAGAAAGAAAGTGAATGAATTGACTGGTGAAGAGAATTTCTGTAATGGAGCGAATGACTGCTCACAGATTTCACTTGGTTACAACTGGACAAAATGGTTTACTAATAGTAGTAATTAGTGATACCATTGTGTACATATGTGTTATCAACATACATGCCACACCAGCATTGTGTGCATATTTTTTCATATGTAAAGACTGTTTTTGTTTGTTTCATTACATTTCGTTTCATTTCAAATCAATAAAGAGAAGTGGTCAAAATGTAGTTTTACTGGGATTAATGAACATGAACATGTAAACATATCAAAAGTACAGAATAAATTGTTCAAAATTAGTAGTACAACAGCTGAGAGTGATTTCTGACAGAATAGTATTTTTGGCCACAAAACATGATAAATTTCTATTCACAAACAGGTGTAAAGAAGGGAGAAACGTATAGTATATGATGTTACTGCTGAGAAATAAGGATATTTATTTCCCAGTAATATCAGTATGCATTTTTCCAGATGTTTCAAATTGATTTAATTTCCACATTGTGCAGGTCGCAGGTCGCCTGATTTCAATTTAGATGGTGCATATTTTTGACAATAATTACTACTGCAGGTTTGAAAGACAGAAAATAACCTGATAACAGTTTATCTGGAAAATAAACCCATGGAAATATTACAGACATCTTCCCTAAATAAACATGTTATGTATTAAGACAAATGTAGCTCCATTTTGTCTGTGTGTGTACCAGCCAGTTTAATGATGCCAGCAATCCAGTAAACCTTCATGGGCAAGCCGCTGTCAGTGTTTGGGACTTCGACTCGAACGCCTTCACTGATGCCGCCCCACGACTTCCCCATCGGGACCTACACAACAATGACAAAATTATAAAAATAACACATTTAAATAACACTGACAACCACAATAAATCACTCTGATTGAACTCATAGACAGATGTTGCTTCATTATCACTAAAATGTGGACAGAAAGTCTGAACACCATAATTAAAATCTGCTTAAAGATCATTGTAGTAAAAAGGAGGGCTCTGAGTTCTGTTTGTGACAAAGAAATCATAAGGGAGCTTAGTCAGTCAGTGGTATAGTCAAGACACTACACCTCGAGTCCGAGTCAAATCCCAAGTTCCCAGTGTTCCAGTCCCAATCACAAAACAATAGTTTGAGTCAAGTCGCCGTTATCCAAGTCCAAGTCATCAAAGTCTACTTTAAACACAACTGACACAGCTCTCACCATTTTAAAAGGAGTTTAACGTGCATAATGAATCATACAGACACAATTTTGATTGCTGTCTTTTACATCGCATGTAAAACAACAACAAATCGAAAGAAGGTTGCCTCTGTCTGTATAGACAGGAGGTTGGTGGTGCAGTCGCAACTCAGTACACTACATACTCAGTAGTACAGTATCACCACTGGACTCCGCTGTCCAACATCAGGACCATCACCAAGAAGGCACAGCAGAGGATGTACTTCCTGCACCAGCTCAGGAAGTTTGACCTGCCTCAGGAGCTGCTGATACAGTTCTACAGAGGAATCACTGAGTCTGTTCTCTGCACCTCCATCACTGTCTGGTTTGGCTCAGCAACCAAACAGGACAAAGACAGACTCCAGAGAACAGTCAGGACTGCAGAAAGAATCATCAGTGCCAGCCTGCCCTCCATGGAGGACCTGTACACCTCATGGGAGAGGATCACTGCAGACCCCTCACACCCGGAACATAATCTGTTCAAACTCCTCCCCTTTGGATGGCATTACAGGTCACTGTGCACCAGAACAAACACACACAAGGACAGTTTCTTCCCCCAGGCCGTCACACTGTAAATATATCTATGTACATAATACTGCTGCCACAACATGTATATATACAGTATTGTTCAAAATAATAGCAGTACAATGTGACTAACCAGAATAATCCAGGTTTTTAGTATATTTTTTATTGCTACATGGCAAACAAGTTACCAGTAGGTGCAGTAGATTCTCAGAAAGCAAACAAGACCCAGCATTCATGATATGCACGCTCTTAAGGCTGTGCAATTGGGCAATTAGTTGAAAGGGGTGTGTTAAAAAAATAGCAGTGTGGCATTCAATCAGTGAGGTCATCAATTTTGTGAAATAACAGGTGTGAATCAGGTGGCCCCTATTTAAGGATGAAGCCAGCACTTGTTGAACATGCATTTGAAAGCCTGAGGAAAATGGGTCGTTCAAGACATTGTTCAGAAGAACAGCGTACTTTGATTAAAAAGTTGATTGGAGAGGGGAAAACCTATAAAGAGGTGCAAAAAATTATAGGCTGTTCAGCTAAAATGATCTCCAATGCCTTAAAATGGAGAGCAAAACCAGAGAGACGTGGAAGAAAACGGAAGACAACCATCAAAATGGATCGAAGAATAACCAGAATGGCAAAGGCCCAGCCAATGATCAGCTCCAGGATGATCAAAGACAGTCTGGAGTTACCTGTAAGTACTGTGACAGTTAGAAGACGTCTGTGTGAAGCTAATCTATTTTCAAGAATCCCCCGCAAAGTCCCTCTGTTAAAAAAAAGGCACGTGCAGAAGAGGTTACAATTTGCCAAAGAACACATCAACTGGCCTAAAGAGAAATGGAGGAACATTTTGTGGACTGATGAGAGTAAAATTGTTCTTTTTGGGTCCAAGGGCCACAGACAGTTTGTGAGACGACCCCCAAACTCTGAATTCAAGCCACAGTACACAGTGAAGACAGTGAAGCATGGTGGTGCAAGCATCATGATATGGGCATGTTTCTCCTACTATGGTGTTGGGCCTATTTATCGCATACCAGGGATCATGGATCAGTTTGCATATGTCAAAATACTTGAAGAGGTCATGTTGCCTTATGCTGAAGAGGACATGCCCTTGAAATGGTTGTTTCAACAAGACAATGACCCCAAACACACTAGTAAACGAGCAAAGTCTTGGTTCCAAACCAACAAAATTAATGTTATGGAGTGGCCAGCCCAATCCCCGGACCTTAATCCAATCGAGAACTTGTGGGGTGATATCAAAAATGCTGTTTCTGAAGCAAAACCAAGACATGTAAATGAATTGTGGAATGTTGTTAAAGAATCATGGAGTGTAATAACAGCTGAAAGGTGCCACAAGTTGGTTGACTCCATGCCACACAGATGTGAAGCAGTTATAACAAACTGTGGTCATACAACTAAATATTAGTTTAGTGATTCACAGGATTGCTAAATCCTAGAAACAAAAACGTTTGTACAACATAGTTTTGTGTTTGTACAGTCAACGGCAGACACTGCTATTTTTTTGAACACACCCCTTTCAACTAATTGCCCAATTTCACAGCCTTAAGAGCGTGCATATCATGAATGCTGGGTCTTGTTTGCTTTCTGAGAATCTACTGCACCTACTGGTAACTTGTTTGCCATGTAGCAATAAAAAATATACTAAAAACCTGGATTATTCTGGTTAGTCACATTGTACTGCTATTATTTTGAACAATACTGTATATATGTGTGCGTGTATATGTACAAACACACACATATAAAAGTTAACAATCGATTCAAGCGATTGTTCACTTTTTTTTTTATTCTCCTATTCGCACTCCTATTTTAAATGCACATATTTTCCAGTTTCTCTTGCTGACCTACGAGCACATTGAGAGCTCCTGTGTCGGAGACAATTTCCTTGTGTGTTTAAACATACTTGGCCAAATAAATGTGATTCTGATTCTGATGTGGGTAGCAAGCGGTTGCATAAACTGTCCTTACAGACATAAATAAAGTTGTATTGAACTGAGAACTGTACAAAACAGAATGGAGGCGTGTTACATAAAAACAAGCCCGTAGGAGCAGGCGTGACCACATGAAAATGTGTGTTATACCCACGTGTTTGAAGCAGCTGACTGGCGCTCCCATCACATCTCCATCGCCAAGGTAACGACCCCAGTCAAACACCTCCACAGAAACTGTAGCAAACACACAACATCAACAAACTAACAAACCAATAGTTACACAGTGACAGCTGACTTTTATACAAAGTGTCACCCTAATGCCTCATGTCGACTGGATGCATCTTCATCACTGTTCAAATGTCTACTGGGAGTGACTCAGACTTCCAGCAGTCCATTCTTCAGTGCACACATTTCATTGTTGTTGTCATACCATTTTCACATAACATCTTGAAGAGAAAAGTTTCACTAAACTCATCCAGTTTGGAGAAGTTTCTAAAAATACAGAGCATGTCAGTCTTAACTTTAAAAATCCCCAGTTTCTGGTGTGAGAGAACTTCACGGGTATTTTATTTCTATATATTTCTCCTTGGTCTGAGAGAGGTTAGAGATCAGGGGACTCCTGGCTCACACTCGGGCCTCTTCTGCAAGGAATGTGTCTCATAATATAACAATAAATAACTATTTAGAGCCCATTTTGATGGTGGAGAGTTGATAAAGAATCAGTCAGCTCACCAACAAGTCAAAATCAGTAACACTGGACACAATGGTTTGTACATCTCTGCACTACTGTGACTCTGAAAAAAAAAATCAGTTTACAGGGATGATGAACTTGGAATATCTCCGCTGTCTCTTGAATATTTGTGGTTGTTTTTTTTTATGAAGTCTGATAGAGTGCCACCAGCATGTGACTCTATACTGAAACTGTTCCAAGGACTCACCGCTCTTTTTGACACCGCTCTGCTGGTTGGCTTGGTGCTGAGTGTAAGCGGCTAGTTTGGTAATCAGAGGCTGTTTCTGCAGAACCTTGGCCTTCTTAGTGGGAGGTTTCCCCTTTAAAACACAGAGAGACAGACACCGGCCTGATTCCCCCTTTAAGACAACAAAGAACATTGCACAGTATTTTTTGTTGACTTAGTCAAAACATTTGACACTGCTGATCATTCTTTACTTTACACACTAGCAACCGTAGTTTTTGGTCACAGTGCTCACAGACAATTGAGAAACTACATCCTGAATAAAAGAGCGTATGATCTAAGTGAATAATCTAATTTTTAACATATAGAAAAGGTGTCTTGCAAGGTTCCATACTAGGACTTAGTCGCTTTACATTTATATTTAAAATATTCCTCCTGTAAATATTTATAACATCCATCTTTATGGATAGTGTGGTTGTATTTCAAATGCTGAATATGCACTAACAGGATGATTCTGGTTCTACTACTGCTGAACAATATGACCAAAAAAAAAAAAAATCAGTACCATACATTTTTTTTTACCACTATCAGTATATTGTAATGAATGTGCTAGAAAAGAACATGCTAACTATGTCAGCTATTTAAACAACAGCACTCATGCTGCACTGTTCCCAAAGAAAATGCAGAACAAAGATGAGAACAGCTCAAAGTCCCTCACCAAATTACAAGTGTCCTGATGTTTTTAGCCAACAGATTTCATCAAAAGAGATAAAAGTGGTGTCAGTTGAGGATGATGGGGAAAATGCCTACTTTTTAAGGTTTTTTTAAATTATTTCCAACTCAGTATTCATTAACTCTGCATTAAGGAATGAATTTTACAGCAGAAACAAATCAGAGGAATACACCAAACTGAAGGTTATTAAATTCTGTATCATAATGTGCACTAGGGATTCAGATAAAAACACCTACTCTAGAAATGAAGACAATGTCACATTCAAGGCAGCGAGCAAGCAGCAAAAGCCACGTTTCCACCAGAGGAACTTTCCCCAGGGAGCAGGCACCTTTTGTGGAACATAGTTTCTTTACCTGCGTTTCCACCGGAGCATCTATGGTCTAAATTTAGTCCTGGGGCAGTCCCCCACAAAAGTACCTAGTGGGTGTTAAGTGTCAGATATTAATATCACCACAGCAAATCATCTGTTTCCACCTAACTTTATCTTCAGCATCCTCTGCTCTCACACCAATTAACTTCATGTCCTCTTTTAGCACATCCATATATCTCCTCTTTGGCCTTCCTCTTGACCTCTTGACCTCTTGCCTGGCAGCTCCATCTCCAACATCCTTCTACCAATATAACCACTATCCCTCCTCTGCATATGTCCAAACCATCTCAATCTGGCCTCTCTGACCTTGTCCCCAAAACAGCCAACCTGAGCTGTCCCTCTGATGTGTTCATTCCTAATCCTGTCCATCCTGGTCACTCCTAAAGAGAACCTCAACATTCTCATCTCTGCTACCTCCATCTCTGCCTCTTGTCTTTTCCTCACTGCTACAGTCTCTAACCCATACAGCATAGCTGGTCTCACTACTGTCTTGTACACCTTTCCTTTGATTCTTGCTGACACTCTTCTGTCACACAACGCTCCTGGCACCTTTCTCCACCCATTCCAATCTGCACTCGCCTCTTCACCTCTTTCCCACACTCCCCGTCACACTGGACTGTTGACCCCAAATACTTAAACTGCACCTCCTTGACCTCAACCCCCTGTAACCTCACCATTCTATTTCCCTTCCTCTCGTTCATACACATGTATTCTGTCTTAGTACGACTGACTTTCATTCCTCTTCTTTCCAGAGCAGACCTCCACCTTTCCAGGTGTTCCTCCTTTGACTATTTGGAGTTATGATAGGTGTAAAAGTAATCCAGAGGTACCCAAGATTAAACATTAAATGGCTGGAAATGAGCAAAATGAACATGCCATGGCCACTTTTAAGACAATTCAGGTCCAGACAGTTTGTACTGTGTGGTCCATACTATTCTTAATAATATATAGTACACAAGTAAAACTGATGATGTTGTCATTTAGTGCAGCAGTGTGATGTTCTGTGTTTCTACCTGCAGTCTGGCAAGGATGCTGGCCTTCTTGGAGTTGGAGGAGTAACTTCTAGAGCAGGAGACGCTGCAGAAACGTTTGGTTTTACTGTAGAAAGCATCTCGGACTCCCACCATACCACACATCTCGCATGTTGCTGAGAGAAACAGAGAGAAAAACATAGTCACTTTTCATCTTATGTACAAATGTCAAATTAAAGACTAGCTGTGGTCCCAACAACTCCTTCATCATCAAAGACAGAAAAACTGAAGATAGTACTTGGAGAAACATGTACCAAGGACAGTTTCTCACCAGTGTGTCCACTAGTCAAAAGAGACAATACACCTGAACCTGCTGCTGCTTCACAGTGAAAAGTCTCATGACAGCAAGGCAGAAGGGCTTTTATTGTGAAGGAGCTGCAGGTAGGCTAGTGTTGTTACCTCTCTTGTCTGGAAATCACAGAGCTTTAGTTTTAGTTGGTAATTTCAAAAACATTCAAATAAAAATTACACAATGAATAGATTGATTAAGAGTATAATTTTTCATAAATAATAAAAATCTGACTAAGGTTCTTTTTGATGTGCTGAGTCTGATAAATCTGTCCTTGAAAAGAGGGAAAGATGTACTGTTTAGTTCATTTCTTCATTAAATTACAGTTTCTGTAATTTACAAATTTACTATTTAACCTTTTTCAGTAATCTTTAAACTTCATTGTCAACATAAAGGTCTAAAAATGTGATTATCTTTGCCATACTGACCCATGCCTGCCTTCCCGTCGGGGTAGGTGTAAACCTGTCCATTGGTCTTGATTAGTGTCAAGGAGGAAGAGGGGGCGAGTTGAGTCACCCCTCCTCCTCTTCCTCCTTCTCCTAACTCTTCATCCTCACTGTCCTCGGGGCTGGATGCTCCACTTCCCCCACTGGACTCAGTACTGCAGCTGCTTCGATCCTCCTCCAAACCGTCCAGCATCCCAAAGGAGTCCCGGCGCTTCCTGGATGGACGCTCCACCTGAGGATGGAGGAGATGCAGTCAGAAAGTTCAGGGAAAGGGTCAGGTCTTTTGGTCACTTCCCTGAGCCCATGACAGTAAGAAAACTGTTTATTGTTGTAAGACACTCTATTCTGACACATCTCGTCTCAAGATGTGTATAGTTTGCAGATGATTGGCTTATTAACATCAGCCACAATAACTTTTTAAAAAGTTAGCGAAGGTGGATTTATTTCTGCTATAATGAATGCACATTTGTCGAGTCCTGATGGCTCCAAAATTATTCCATGTCATAGTTTCTGAGGCCACTGTGCTCCTCGGAACATTCATGGCTTTAGAGGTAGTTTTAACAGGCATGTAACTACATACCTTGGGTATTTCCATCCTCAGCTATTTTTCTCAGCACTGCCTTACATCATTTGTAGTGTTTTGCCCTTATAAGCATCTATATTTTGACTATCCAGGTTATTTTTGTATGGTTTTCTGGACTGGGACCTCTAATCTCTTTAAATAAAAAATGCCAGACCTTTAAGTAGCATAAACATCTGTCCATTTAATGGTATAGAATCTGAAAGTCAGGTTGATATTTATATACTACAGAGGGCATAATGCTGGATCCAGGACGTATTCATCTGTATCTGGGATTTGTTGGGTTTTCCTTATAAAAGTGTAACAACTAAACCTGATTAAGTAAAGTGCCATGAGACAATTGTTGTGAGTTGGCGCTATACAAATAAGATGAATTGAAACTGAATTGAATTATCCATAGGAAGACGCATACAGAGTCAAGGTGACATAAACGGCACTATCAGAATCTAATGGACCTTTATTCCAACTTGTTCAACAAACTAATTATAGGACAATCATCTGAGTTTCAGTGTGTACAGTAAATACACACAGTCACAGTTGTTGCAATCTGTTTTGCATCACTGACTTTAGAGCTGTAGGCTATAACCTGCTGCCAGCACCACTGCAGTGCAGTGAGAGACAGAGAGGGAGAGAGAGGCTGACTGACAATATATGGAGAGAGACTCAGTAGGCACAACTGGTGACTGAGTCAGTCCGAGAACACTAGGCACCAAATGACCTTCAGAATTCAGTCAATTTCAGCTTTCTTTGATTGAAGAACGACATGAAGCCCGTATAACAAAGCTCAAGAATGTTTGTGAATCAACTAACGCCATCGTTAAATTCGGCCCATTTTAAATGCACCTCGGTCTGTCAATTATGGTCACCTCGCCAGTCGCCGCTGTCCAGTACTGTGGTGATGGGGATGCAGTGGGAAACAAAAACAAAGAGCCTGTTCACTGAACGAAAAGTTGTTTGGAGAAGTGCAGACACGCCGAATAAAATGTTGTCTATTCCAATGTAATAAACAATTTGAAAAGTTTGTCAATGAGAAATGTGTCCTCGTCAACGAGCACGGAAAGCTAATATCACATGTTTTTTCAGTAGAGTTCTTGAAGGAGACTGTGGGACGCAATTATAAAAGGCTAACTTAGCTTTGACTGATTTAAGAACTACACAATACAAACAATATAAACAAGCTGAATAAAAATGTATATCTACTGCTTAAATTAGCTCTTTAAATGTAATTTAAATTTTGTATATAATTTTGCCGAAGAGCAAGAGAACGCAAAAGTGACACATTTCTTAATGGAGTTTTGCCATAATATCCTGTCAGCGACCGCTTTGAACCAGTATTTAACACTGCTGTGAACCGCTATCACAACCACTACAAAGGAGGGTAATGTGGGCTCCCCCCGGACAGACAGGGCCCAGAACTCACCAAGTCTCTGGAGTTTTCCATCAGACCAGGCCGCGGGCGTACAGTCTTCCTGAAACACTAAATCCCGCAAAAATATTCATTAAAACCCTACGGCAGACATATCAACAAAATTATTTTTCCTCGAACGCGCAGGCTCAGGACCGCAGACGCTGACCTCTGATTGGCTGTTGCTTCTACTTCGTGTATTGGTTTTAGATAATATGGCGAGTCCGCCAGCGACCTCAGTGGAGAAAGGCAGAAGTCAACAGAGAATATCGGTGTACTACCGACTACCTTAGCTACCTTCTGTGATCATTAATTGTGTGGATGCTGTCAAGCATCCACACTATGCTCTCTTGTTCTTTATTTATTATTATTATTATTATTATTATTATTATGGGATCTTCCACCCTTTTTTGGCACTTAATAAGTCCAGCATACTTTCAGCTATACAGGCCATTGAGGTCTTGATTGTCAAGTAATGAAGTACCCTCCGTCTTTTCTATTACTTGGTTTTTATTAACAAACAATACATGAACAGTAATGAAGCTCTCCTCCCTCTAGCTGATGTCTACTCCCCCAAAGATCCTCAGTGATACATGACATCCCTCTCTATTGCATACTTCCTTGACACCTCCCCCTTTTCACTCTAACTTAACTATAACACAGAACAACCCCTTCTGTCAGTTCCTTCCTTTTCACAATCTTTTTTTTTCTTCATACACCCCATAATGGCCCGCTGTAAAACTCTAACTCAGCATATTGTGACATCTCATGCTGCATTGTCTATTCCATATAAACCCTTTTTTTTTTTCCTAATAAGAACCAAAAGTGGTACATCGTGTCTGAACAGCATACTGAAACACTTAAGTAACTACCAGATGCACTTAAACCTTCCTTTCTACAGATTCAACCGTTTGCACACTCTCCCAGCTCTTGTAACAGTCTGAGTTTGTGGCTGCTTCTGTTGTTGATCAGGCATGCTCAGTGCATGTTCACATTTCTCCTCTAACCCTGGCTGAGTCTCCGGGTCTGTAGATTGATCTGCCACAGACTCTCGTGGTAGAATCTGCAAATGTCTGCGGTTCCTCTGCTTCTGTCCTCCTCCAGAGGGAGACTGGATCACATAGGCGCGGGGAGTGGCACTTTCCTGCACCACAGCCGGCTCAGACCATCGCTTTTCCGAGTCGATTTTCACCAAAACGTTGTCACCTGGCCGCAGAGTGGATAGTTCTCATGCTCCGTGACATTGGTTAAAGTACTGAAACTCATGAGAGCCAGCAATGGGTCTTTTTGTTGCAATATTCTCTTCGCCGTCTGCACCGCCCTCTCCGCATGTCCGTTTCCGGATGGGTGATGCGGACTGGATGTAATATGTTCAAAGCCAAACTCCTCACTGAATGCTTTGAAAGTTTCACAAGTAAACTGTGGTCCATTATCACTATGAATGGTGTCGGGAATACCGAATCTAGCAAAAACAGCTTTCAGCTTTTTTATTACTTGGTCAGCTGTTGTAACAGATAAATGTAGGATCTCTACATATCTGGAAAAGTAGTCAGAAACAACAAGATAGGT